TCGCGTGAGTGGGAGGCCGGCCGCCGGTATATAAGGCGGTCCGGCGAGCGTATCGCTACCAGTTCCCGATCCCAAGTCCTACCTCGTACAATTCCTGATCCGAAACCTATACCGCGTTACACCAGGCTACGGGCTACCCGTAGTTACGCCGGGTTACCCGGTTGCTGGGACGGCGCACCCTGATACCTAGCGTTACACCAGGTCACGGGCTACCCGTGGTTATGCCGGGCTTCCCGGTTGCTGGGACGGCGCACTCGTAGGTTATAAGACCGTACCGCGCTCCGCGCACTGTTCGACCTGGACGGCCGTTTGACTACCCCGCGACCGTTTCCACCGTAAGACCACTTTGGTCTCCGTGTATCTTTCCGTATAAATACCGCGACCTGTTAGATTGTAATACCGCTTTGTACATATACCGCGACCCGCTATATTGTAAAACCGTTGTACGTATACCGTGACCCGTAAGACCGATCCGGTCTCCGCGTCCTGATAGACTCTAGTACCGCCTTGTATATACCGCGACCTGTTCATATTGTAATACCGCACTGTATACCGCGACCTGTTCATGTTGTAAGACCGCATTGTATATACCGCGCATTCTAACGGTGGAGTTAATTAGCCATTAGGATTTCCGCCAGTGTCGCGCCGATTTCACCTTTACACACGGCCTTCAGACTACTAAAGAGCGTCAGTCCTTTTAAGGATAGGTCGCCGAGAATGCCGACGCCCCGTCCTTTTTAGGATAAGGTAGTCAGACAGTTGGAATTACATTGAAGGCCACGCGACACCCCGTAGTGTTTAAGATCTGTACTGTTCCGCTTAGAATAACTCCAGTTGCTTGCATGCGAACCTCGCGATTGCAGAACACGGCCGCTTGAGCCACGCTCGCTTCCCGAGCTCCACGCGCACCAACCACGCGCGAAACTCTGTACGCACCGCGCTTGCATGTCGCATTGTGAATAACAACCGCTCACGCGCGAAACTCTGTACGCACCGTTCCCGCATGCTGCTTCGCATAGCTATCAGAGTTAACTATCTTTTGTAATAACCGCTTGAATAAACCTAATTGTTTAAACCGCTTACACCGAGGTAAAGTAAGTTGGAGTTTCCCCCTTCTCTCGAATCCTGGCACCGGCGAGCCTTGATCCGCGGCGTACGGGAAAGGTGAACCGTTACAAATCAACAAAAATATTTTGCACGTTAACTAATATTTGCGTTTTTATCGGTAAAACAAACCTTTTAGGATCCCCTTAACGCTCGACGCCATGTAAAGGCACCTTCCAATGTTGCATTGCAATTTACAACATTGCAATGTTGCTGCAATATAATTGCAATGATCTGTGCTGTATAGGTTTATGTATCCGGTTTCGGATCATTATCTGATAGGAAATTAATTATTATAAAATAAACTATTATTTCCCAAATGTTGAAAACATTACTGACGTGTTTTCCAAATGATTTCACTTCGAATAAAATAAAAAAATAATTTTTTTAGAATTATGTCTGCTAACTATATGCTCAATTAATTTTCATTTATTATAAATAAATTATTATTTCCTAAACTATAAGAATTCCTAAATTTGGCCAAACGATTCCCAAACAATTGCAATAATAAAAAATAAGAAATATCAAATTTGTGTGCTAAGTATACGGAGGTCTTTCTCAGGGTGCAAACCCATGCAGCGGAATAGCGTAACGCGGAACGAAAGCGGAACCAATCACGAACGTTCCGCAATTTCGTTCCGTTTTCAGTAGTTTCTAGCGGAATAGGTTTCGCAGATTGCGTAATGTACATACACATCTATACATATACACATGGTAGTAAAAGCTAACTTCAAAATTTTCCTTTATCTCTCAAAAATAAGAAATAACTTGTAAATCGCGAGCGTAACAAAAACTGCAGAATGCTTGCGATTAGTTCCATTCTCGTTCCGCGTTACGCTAATCCGCGTTTCCGCGCTCCATGTAATGGCACCCTCAGGGTGCGAACTCATCCAGCGGAATAGCGTAACGCGGAACGAGAGCATGACCAACCGCGAGCGTTCTGCAGTTTTCGCTACGCTCACGATTGGTCCGCTCCTGTTCCGCGTTACGCTTTTCCGCTGCCATGGGTTTGCACCCTCAGGCTTCTCTCTGGCCATGTTAGTCCCGTAGTGAATAGTGAATTCTAGAGTCCTATATAATCAGAGAGGCGTGTGACGTCCCATCATTTTTCAAAACCATATTTTAACTAATAATTAAGTACCGCATCTATTTCTGCATTATGCCTATGGAATATAGAACAATTATTTAACCATTTGCTCTTATTTCCATTATTAATCAGTTTCATTAATTGCTTATTGTTCTAGTTCCATATGGTTATTTCACTTAGAAATTAACTATATTTTAGTTCTTTTAATAGTAATAATCGATTGTGTAAGGAATTGAACATTACTTGGACCAACCAATCAGAAGGCTTTATTTAGAACTAGGCAATTGCGCAGTAGTACTTACCTAACTTTCTAGAACTGATCGGCGGTTACTTTAAGGCCGATACTACATTTGTCGTACGACAAACTTTTTAAGCGCATTGATTAGCTAATTTCTAGAGACTCAAGAAAGTTTCTATTTTGCAGCCAATCAATATGCTTAAAAAGTTTATCGTACGACAAATGTAATATCGGCTTAAGAACGGGCTCGCCATCGAACTTTAATAGCGTTTTCAAATGACCGGGTTAACCCAACCCGGTTCAATTAATCACTATATTTTACTATAAATTCAAGTCTTATTTTGGCAGAGACGATGCAATGACGTCATTAGTCGTTCTGAGAGCGATTAAACCTGCTACATTCAAAAACGCTAATAATATATCTAGACCGAGTGTTGAGAAGTGAGGGCCAAGGTGCACATAGAAAAGGACATACTCTGTTCCGTGCCCTTTGCGTTCTCTCTCGCTCGCATGTAGCATAGCGGAAGAGTACGCTATGCTACGTGCGAGCGAGAGAGAACGCAAAGCGCACGGAACAAGGTATGTCCTTTTCTACGTGTATCTTTACCCCCACTCCTTAAGTAAAGGCAAACGCTCGGTCTAGATTAGAGTCCTATATAATCAGAGAAGCGACATCGTTACCCCCTCCATGCTTCCCATGATCGCCATGTTGGTCCCGCAGCTGCCCATTTGTAATCTAAAATGTCTTAAAAATGTCTCAGAGATATTTAACATGTTTTTTTTAAATAACATTACAAATATACTTTTTTCTCACTTACGGTGCGCCGGTTGCGATTAGTTTGCGCGTAGGATTCAGTACGGGCAAACTCGAGCATCATCTGTCTTTGTTTAACTTTCATTGAACAACAAAGATGAAATGATACCGTGAGCGTTGCGGTCATTAAGTGGAACGGGCCCGTGGCGGTCAGCCAATCAACAAGCGGAACGCCCTTGTCGCTTCTCTGATTATATAGGACTCTAGTCTAGATATACTATGTCTATGGATGATAGCGCCCTCTGCACCAATTCAAATGGGTCATAAATACCAATATTCATAAACTCCTCTCAATTTAATAGAAATAATGCAATATTTATACACGATAATAATAGGATTTTGTAACACAAATATTCTTATATCGGAACAAAATTTCAATAATTAATCTTTTTGAATAGAATATATGAGATAAATAATTTTTTAATTTTATATTAATAAAGTTCTCTTTAGACAATTTATAACTCGCGATAAATCTCGAAACAAAATTTCTATTTATAATTTTACGTATCATGTAATACACCGACGTCCTCAAAAATTGACGCAACATATAAAGACGTTCGAGGGCTTAAAACACTTGTACAGGGTGTCCGACAAGTAAGTGACCAAACGAAAACATGTACAAAAAAAAATACATATTAGATACACAGATAAAATGAACACCTAAAATTATAAGATATAATTATAGATCTGTCTTAAATTTTGTTTTGTAAATAATAAATAATTTAAAACAAAATAAAATATTTATAAAAAATTTCCCGGGACGAAAAGTCCATATGTATAATCATATATAAATATATAGAATTATATATAAAATATGTTCATGTAATATACTTGTACAGGGTGTCCGACAAGTAAGTGACCAAACGAAAAGTGGAGATAGATTGGGTCAAACTGAAAAGAAAAGTCCTGTACCATTTTGCGATTTTCGTAATAATTAGTGACAAATTAATTTTTAAAAATCGACCAATTCGCGCGAGTATAAGCGCGCATCGAGAAGAGACAACTCAAAAGTAGGCGCGCGACAAAGTTTTGGGAGGAGCGCTCTATAAATAACAATAGTTACGTATGAGCGGTACATAATGATGGATCCTCGCGTCCTAGCAACCACATATCAATGCCGCCCATATCAGGCCGTTCTTTCTCACTGCGCAATAATACTCGCGCGAATTGGTCTATCTTTTTTAATTAATTTCTCAATAATTATTACGAAAATCAGGGTGCAAACCCATGCAGCGGAATAGCGTAACGCGGAACGAGAGCATGACCAATCGCGAGCGTTCTGCAGTTTTCGCTACGATTGGTCCGCTCTTGTTTCGCGTTACGCTTTTCCGCTGCCATGAGTTCGCATCCTGATGTGGCCTTTTGGGAATCTCAATATGGCGGCGTTAATATGGCGCCCGAAAGTTACGAAAATTACGAAGCACCAAATATTATCGTTTATCAAAATGTAGGAAACATCTGAATCAGCCTCAATTCAATTAATCTTAGGGTTTTCGAGGTCGCTGATCACGTATCTGCAGGAAAAATTCCGAAATTCAAGATGGCGAATCTAATATGGCGGCCAAAACCGCGACGACACCATATCGAAAAATACACGAGAACCATAATGTATTTTCAATCAAATCATGAGAAACGCCGAATTTTCAACGTGAAATACGGTAGCTCATGTATTTTGATCAACTAAATCCGAATCATTATGATTCTCGTGCATCTTTCAATATGGTGCCGTCGCGGTTTTGGCCGCCATATTGGATCCGCTATCGTGAATTTCGGTATTTTTCCTGCAGATACGTGATCAGCGATCTCGAAAACCGTAAGATTAATTGAATTGATTCAGATGTTTCCTACATTTTAATAAACGATAATATTTGGTGCTTCGTAATTTTCGTGACTTTCGGGCGCCATATTGACGCCGCCATATTGAGATTCCCAAAAGGCCACATTGCTCTCGAAAGATCTTGGATATACAAGTGTTTTAAGCCCTCGAACGTCTTTATATGTTGCGTCAATTTTTGAGGATGCCGGTGATCCGGTTGACGCGGAACGTCCCATATATTGGATGATTGCATAAGTTCGTGCCCGATTTTCATAGATGGCATTAAGTTACTGCATGGCGGAGTTCTATTGTTTTCGTGTGGTAATTGTTGCTTACACCGAATAGATGACGTTGTCTTATGTCAATTTAGCGTCAGACATTGTTCAAATAAGTCCATTTGTGCATAAGAGAAATCATTAAAAATGGAAAACGAAAAGGTGCATTTGCGGCATGTAATGTTATATAAATTTCGGAAAGGCGTGAGTGTTGGGATTGCACAAAAAAATAT